TCTCTCTCTCTCTCTCTCTCTCTCTCTCTCTCTCTCTCTCTCTCTCTCCAGTTGTGAAGCTTTATAGCTGAGGAAGCAGAAAAACCTTATGTTTATGTTAGTGAAGCCAGTATCTCTTTTTTATTTTTAGACACACTTTCAGACATTTTGTTTGTGCAAACAAAAACACGGCTGGAAAATTTGAAGGGATTGATTTTGCATCACAGCAACATGAACTCTAAACGCAAAACTTAATCCGCCTGTTCGTGCCTCAGGTGCTCCGTACTGTTGTCAGTGGTGGAACTCAATGTACTCCACTACTAGTACTATTTTGAGGCTCTTGTACATTACTTTTCTGGTTTATGTTGTTTTGTATTTGTACTCGACAACATGTCAGAGGGAAATGTTTTACGTTTTACCACACAGCTATATTTACTAGTTGCCTTTAAATTTTGTATTTTACCTAAAAAAACACAATGAAAACGTGTAACATAATCTAATGATGTCATTTATTATTATATATCGCTCACATGTTCTGCATGAGTGCTTTTACTTTTGATATTTCAGGTACATTCTGCTGATATTATTTCTATACTGTTACTTAGGTAAAGTTTTTGTAGCCGCAGAGCATGCTGGTCCTTTGAGGCTGCTATGAGTAGAGAAACTGCTGTTTCTTTTTCTTCACAGTAACTGTTGCTGTGATCTGATTTGAAACAGTTGACGGACCAGCGTTTATGCATGGGTTTGGCAGAAACTACATACAGTAGCCCAACCAACTCAAATCCTATTTAGCTTCTGATGCTACACATAAGGATGGCGATTTTTTTGGGCAACCTTTGAATTTGGAAGCAGAGGGAAACTGCAGTAGGACTCGTACAGAATGGGCATTACATTTATAATTGATCATAGATAATCAAATGTAAGGCATCTGCTGTAATAATTAAAAAAAACATCAGACAGCAACATTGTGTGGCTCTACTGCCAGACTGCTTGGTCCAGTGTGTGTGTGTGTGTGTGTGTGTGTGTGTTCTTCGGTAGCCGTGTCTGGGTAGTGGAGATCCATCACTGAGCTCTAAATGATCCCCCCCCACCCCTCTTTGTTTCCCTCTGCTGACTTAACTGACTCATCAAGAAAGCCTGATACACACACACACACACACACACACACACACACACACACAGACACTCGGCAGAGGTGGGCAGACTCTCTGCTGTGTGTGGATGTTGGATAATCATCGTTAAAGCTAATGTGCTGTCTTTGTGGTTCTGGTTAATTAAGAGGCTTGTTAGACAGCCTCCTCCTGCACTCGTGTCATTCCTGCGGTGGCAGTAAGCAGTAAAGAGATGATTTAAAACCAAATTATTCAATATTTACGTCACGATTTCCCTTATTAATGCATCCCTCTCCTCAATATCAAGACGTCCTGTGAGACAAACCTGACACCTTTACTCATTAGAGAACAAAGAGGACCCATGGCGTGCACTCCAAAGAGGTCGGACCGTTATTCCCGGTGCTCCTCTTGGCCAGCTCACCGTTGGTCCCTGGAGCAATGGTTCGATGGCAGCGGGCGATGCTGTCGCCTTGTCTGCCGGTTGGACTGCTGCTGCTTCTACTTTAGGCCCCATGTGGTGATCAGTAGGGGTGGGAATCACCAGAGATCCCGCGATACGATATTATCACGATACTGCGATATTCTGAGGATTGCGATAACATAGGCCTATATTGCGATTTATTACTTTTTTCAACTTCAAATTATGTCCCCAAAGGAAGACTGTGTCAACATGTTTTATCTAATAAGATAACGTTTTCAGTCTGTTCATCTCACTTCAATCATTTTTATTGCAGCAAAATAAGATTGTCAAGCAGACAGACTGACCAACAATGTCATAAATGTTGCACCTGACAAACTGAACTGTTTGTATTACTACATAATCCAACTTAACTGAATGCAAACATGTGGACTCAGTATATGAACTATAACTTTTATAAGAAGGATATAATAGTTATATAACTCAGTATAACTTGCGATGCGTGGACGTCGAGGGCAGAGAGACAGTTATGCGCTGCACTCTCCCCATGAGCCTGGCTACTGTTGGCAGATTTAACCCCTTTGTGAGGCCAGATGTCTCTATCTTTGTTTTGACCAACTTCCTACCAATCACGCTGACCCGGGACCTTTGCTGACCTCACCAGAAAACAACTCAGCACCATCTAGTGGACTGAAAAAGCAATTGATTTTTCTTGTAATTCTTTATTTTTATTCATTTATTTTTTTTAATAGTTTATATAATAAAAGATCGATACTTGGCGTCCGTGTATCGATACAATATCGCCACGCAAAATATCACGATACTATGCTGTATCGATTTTTTCCCCCACCCCTAGTGATCAGCACAGAGCTCCACACAGAGGCACTAAGGTCAATTGTTTTTTTAAGGAATCGTTTTTTACAGCTTTGATCTGAGACAAGAGAGGGGAATCAAATAAAAAACGTATGCGTTTTAGTAGAACGCAGCAGCAGTGTGGCGCAAGCGTTACCGTTCCTGCTACTGGTATGCTAAGGTCATGAGTTGAAAGGAAGGAAGTAATATGTGAGTGTATTCTTGCAGTAGCAGGGTGGATCCTGCTGAGCGTGCAGAATCCTTAGTTCATCAGGAATAAAGGAATAGACCATATCTCTCTTGTGAGAGGTTGATGCAGTTTCCCTCCTCAGGGTTCAAGATGATACGGATGCCTTGTGGTTGCGTAATAGGCGCCGTTAAGAGAAAGGTCTCGGGTTTACAGATACAATATGTGTGCAAAGTCTGGTGATGTTATGGAGTTCTCTCGTTGTCAACAAATCCCTTGACGAGACCACAACCTGTGTAGCTACCACAAAGCCTGATATATCGTATATTAATCCACACCGGAAAATTGTCCCCCAATGAACACACTATTTACTCTTGTTTGAGTAACATTGGCCAAATCTACACACGCCAATCTGTTTAAGTAAATCATTTTGCCTTTTCAAAAAATTAAACTATATATTTGTGAGTAGTTTTCAACGATGTACAACTTCAGTGGGAATAAATAAGTTTGGGTGCAACAGTATTGAGAGATGGACTAACGCATTGTCAGGTTTGATCTTTTCACGGCATTATACTGTATTAATATATATTATATAATTCATAAAGACCCAACAGTGTGAAATAACAAACACTTCTTCCAGGTCCGCGTTTTGGTGATGACACACAAACATCCACAAAAGGCTTGTAGGACCCGACCTCATTAATATGCCTGTGTTCCCATCCTCCTCTGTTTCTTTGCCACCCAGCAGGCTGCAGTGAGCGGGTGGAGGTCCACACAGAGCGGAGGGGGGTCATCTACAGCCCCTCGTGGCCTTTAAACTACCCATCCAGAGTCAACTGCAGCTGGCATATCCAGGGAGGTCAGGGAGAGGTCATTACCATCAGGTAGAGCCCCTCACACAGACAGTATGCGCATGGCATTTGTTGGGGAGGAAGCGCCTGATACCCCCAATCCTCTGCTTCTAGTTTCCGTAATTTTGACGTGACGGAGTCGGGGAGTTGTTTGGGAGACTGGCTCCTGCTGACACCCACCAGGAACGGGGAATCCAGGCTGTGTGGCTCCATGCTGCCTCCGCCCTTCATCTCCACCAGGGGGCGTGTTTGGCTCTATTTCCACTCTAAGGCCAACAGCTCCGGGCAGGCCCAGGGCTTTCGTCTCTCCTACATCAGAGGTAAACTGGAAAAATAATGTGATTTCAAATATAAATACGGAAATCGTCTGTAAAGATGAAGCAAAATGACAAGAGCTTTAAATGTGATGGCGTGATGGATTAAAATGCCATATTTTCATTTCTACATGCAGTCATTTATTACACTTACTAAATTGCAATGCCCTCTCAGTGCCTGTCTCTCATCATAGCAGTAGTTATATTCCTGTTATGTTGCATAGAAATGTGTTACAGTGTTGGCTCTACTGAGGCTGCTTGCTCAACTCTCTTGTCGGAGCTGACTTCCAGGTCCATGCTGTGGCCTTGGGGCGAAGTAATACTATAAGCCTATCCCATCCTTACTCTATTATTATATACATTTTTTTTTTTTTGCTTTACTATATGAAATTGTGAAAAATGCATGCTGTCAGTGGTCTGCATGTTTTCAGGAATAATAGTGTCTTTTTGTGCGGCCCTGCAGATTACAACTGAGGCCTGAGACACTGGATCAGGAATATTATTAACTCAGACAGAGAGTATTAACATGAACAAGTGGGGAGTAAACTAAACCCATTAGGCAGTAATAAGGAAGTGCATTTCTTTATGCAATGTGTATATATGGGAGGATCTGCAGAGCGTTAACAGCTGGTGTTGCAATCTGCCAACGTATTCTCTCTGTAGGTCACCTGGGTCAGAGCAGCTGTCAGTCGGACGAATTCCTGTGTGGGAACGGGAAGTGTCTTCCTCGCTCCTGGAAGTGCAACGGTCAGGACGAGTGCGGCGACGCCACGGACGAACGCAGCTGCTCCCCCCCTCCCACCGAGGCCCGTCCCGGCCTCTGCCCCCTCGGCTCCCTTGCGTGCACCGAGGCCCAGTCCACCCGCTGCCTGCCGGCCACCCTGCGCTGCAACGGAGCCGGGGACTGTGCTGACGGCACAGACGAGCTGGGTTGCCCCGACACCGCCTGCGGCAAACGCCTGGGCAACTTCTACGGCTCCTTCGCTTCCCCAGATTTCTTCCGGGCCAACAGGAGCGCTGTGGCGGAGCTGAGGTGCTCGTGGTCGCTGGACACCCAGGACCCCAAGCCCATCGTGTTGCAGCTGGACCTGCAGCTGGGGCCCGGGGACTCGCTGCACGTCTACGATGGCCTGCTGCAGCGTGCAGAGCACCTCTTACAGGTGCTGTCGTATCATAACAACAGGCGCCCGGCGCTGCTCGAGTCCAGTCGGGGACAGATGAGTGTTCTGTACATGGCCCAGCCTCACAGCCCGGGGCATGGCTTCAACGCCACATACCAGGTACTGCAAACTGAAAACGTGTTCCACTGTTTCCAGATGTGAACCATTCATTCATCTTCATCTCTCACAATTTGCAGTTTAAACCTCCTTCTTTAAGCTTTCTTATATGTTTCAAATGTCTGTTTTGGGTTCCTTTCACCATTTCTCCCCCTTTTCTTATTTGTGTGTTTGAAAGAAGAGTGCCGCTGTTCTGTTGTTGCAGAGACAACAATCAATCAAGCGTTCCCTGTGTCTAGACACTGCCACGTTTCTCCTCTGCCCTCCCAGGTCAAAGGTTACTGTTTCCCCGGCGAGCGTCCCTGTGGCAGCGATCAGGGCTGCTACTCTGAGCGCCAGCGCTGCGACGGCTACTGGCACTGCCCATCCGGCCGCGACGAGGAGGCCTGCCCGACGTGCCCAGATGGGGATTTCCCCTGCGAGGGGGCCGCTGGCGTGTGCTACCCAGCCTCCGAGCGCTGCAACAACCAGAAGAGGTGCCCGGATGGCTCGGACGAGAAGAACTGCTACGACTGCCAACCCGGAAACTTCCACTGCGGGACGAACCTGTGCATCTTTGAGACGTGGCGCTGTGACGGCCAGGAGGACTGCTTGGACGGGAGCGACGAGAGGGGCTGCTTGGCAGCGGTGCCCAGGAAAGTGATCACGGCCGCCCTGATCGGCAGTCTGGTCTGCAGTCTCCTGCTGGTCATTGCCCTCGGCTGTGCCCTCAAGCTCCACTCCCTCAGGAGCAGAGAGTACAGGTGGGGACACGGCAACTCAGTCTATTTCTATAAGCAGCGTTTATCACCGGTCGCCCTTCTTACACTGCTTTTGCAAGTCATGTACTTGTTTTCCATCCTCCCTTTCATTTATTCAATGCTTTGTTTCTGAATAACTCTATCACTGTATCTCCTCCTATACGTGGGTCCAAAAGCATATTGTCCCACAGTTTGTTATAGCATATTATTGTGGTTGATGGATGGCACAGCCTTTGCGGAGCATACTACTAACAAGGTTCCTTAAGTTGTTTTCCTAATCACCTTAAACTCGCTCACTCTCTGTCTTCATCACTTCAATACTTTCTCCTCCTTCCTCCTCTTCCTCTCCCTCTCTCCCTTGCAGAGCCTTTGAGACTCAGATGACTCGCATGGAGGCAGAGTTTATCCAGAGGGAGGCCCCCCCTTCGTATGGTCAGTTAATCGCCCAGGGTCTCATCCCTCCGGTGGAGGATTTCCCAGTGTACAACCCCACTCAGGTAGGGCCTTCACACGCAGTGATTCACTCTGGGAACAATTTTCCTGAATTGTTGAGCATACCGGAGTGGTCAACTGATCTTTTTTTGCAATTTTGGCAACCAGCAGCAGTAGTGCAACCCTGACACAGACAATAGCAGTAAAGATCTCTTTTTGAATTTAATTTATTTTTCAGCAATTACTGAAATTTGCTTAGCTTAGCATAAGCACTGGATAATAAGGAAACAATATCTGCGTACCAGCACATCTAAAGATGGTTAATGGACATATTATATCTTGTGAGAATTATAGTTTCTCTGGATCTTCCTCTCCTCCAGGCCTCCGTGTTACAGAACCTGCGGCTGGCGATGCGCAGGCAGATCAGACGTCACTCGACACGGCGCTCCACCTCCTCCTCCTCCTCTCGTCGCCGCCTCGGGCATCTGTGGAGTCGCCTGTTCCACAGTGCAGGGCGGACCAGAGGCCACGCCCCCCTGCTCGACTCCCCCGGACCCGCGCAGATCGCACTGGGGCTCCACAGCTACCGAACTGTGGGTGCGCAGGGGCCCCGGGCGAGGGCCAGGTCTGGAGCTAGGCGCGGGGTTGAGATTGATTTGGTGGGCATGCCGGGCTACTGCTGCTCAGCCTCCATGGACCCGCAGTCCTGCACGCCAGAGAGCCCTGCATCACCGCTCTCCTCTCAGTCAATGGACAGCCCAGAGGAGGAGGAACTGTCGCCCGTCAGCAGAGAACACAGCAGGGTGACACAGTCTGAGCCCCCCACCCCTGTTCAGAGTGACTCTTCAGAACATAGCGGACCCCCTCCCACTCCACAGGAAGCCTATGTACCCTCATGTCCCACCAGGGCATCTAGGAAACTGGTCCTGGAGCTTGCTGTAAACCTAAAGGGTGTTTCCTTGAGACGCTACTCCCCTTTGGGGCCATTGTCCCCTATCTCACCCCTTGTGTTTCCCAGCAGCTCCCAGACACCCACAACCCTACCGCACCCTCAGGGGCTCGAGGTGACTTCACCTTCTGAGCCCTCGAAAGCAGAGGACAGCAACAGCCACTTTACCGTGGAAGTGCCAAGCAGGGAAATAAGAGGCAGGGATGAGAGGAGGAGTGTAGGCAAGAGAAGGTTCTCCGGGTTCAGCAGGACCCTCAGCGACGAGGGAGGAGATTCAGGGAGAGAGACAACGCCATGCTGAAGAGTTTAGGAAGATACTCTGTTGAGACCGGGCGTCAGCAATATTTGCTCTGCTAAAGTGTCCTTGAAATGTGTCCCCACCAGGTCCAGAGGTGAGACCCGTCCCTCAGCCCTCCACATGGAGCAAGTGCAGTAGAATATATAATTAGCTCATGTCTGTTTGAGGGCATGAAGATCTGCATATGCAGTGTTCTGCTAAGATGAATAAAACCAGCGGAGGTAGTGCTTATGGTCTGTGTTATACAGTAAATCTCCTTGTACAACAGGAGCCTAATGTTGACTCCCACAATTAAATGCAAAAAGGTCTGTTTGAACGTAAACCCGTCGTGAGCCTGTCCCAGAAAATCAAACTCAATTCTGGCCACTAGTACCAATACAATATTGGCAACGTGTTCTTAAAACGCCAAAGCAGCCTTTGTGTCATTACCCAGAGCAATTATGCACCGCTATATACTGTGAACCATAAAAGCCTGCTAAGTGATCACATATTAATTTACCTGATTAATAGTCCTCCCACTTTATTGAATGAGGTGTTGTTGTTATTATTATTGTATGACATTTCTAGAAGGTCATGGTTGGCTGTCGCATTAAAGGATAAAGCTGGTGAAATGTTGTATTTATGTTATTGTCAACGACTCATATGATCCGGCCCAAACCAATATGAGTACGTCCACCTCTCAATGCTTTCCGCCTTCAGCAGCCCGATTATATGCCTTCCTGTTTAAAAGGCTAAATCAGTTAATTTGTTGGAGACTATTTTCACATGCAACAAAAGGCTGGAATTGAACCGGGACATTGCGGTTGTGTGACCTACGCCGTACCAAGCCGCTCCAGACAATACTTGTTTGTAGGGTCAATACGTTGTTGGTTTTGGTCTTTTCATGGGGCTTGTTGACAGTAAGAACATTTAAAAACAACACCAGACCTATCGTTTAAACACAACTTTGAACCACAAAAGTTTGACATTTTGGGAAATACACTTTTTTGCTTTCTGGGTGAGAGTAAGATGGAAAGATCATTACTACTCAAATCCGGCCGTAAAATAGGTCTACACCCAACAGCCGGTTAGCCTAGCTTAGCAAAAAGACTGGAAAGGGGAGAAACATCTTGCCATCTTGCAGCGAATGATTCTCAAAGCTGCTGGTGGTCAGTTGGTAACCTTCAGACAGATCCAGGCTACCTGTTTCTACTTCGTGCTAAGCTAGGCTAACCAGCTGCTGGCTGTAGCCTTATTTTTAAGGATACAGGGGAGTGGTATCTCATTTCATTCTTAGCCAAAGGACAAAAAAGGTATTCCCCAAAAATGTCAAACTATTCCTTTAACAGTGCAGTGTCACTGAATCATTCAGCGGTTCGTTCATGCCAAACCTTTGTCGGTATTTGTTTAACATATACTGTGCGTGTCCAGTGCTAATTGAGTGATACTTCCCTTTTAAACAACCTTTTTATTATTTTTAAGGGTCGTTGTATCAAATAGATTTTTTAATTCAGCGTTTTTAACTTGATGTATCATCAGATTTAAAAAGCCACACTTGGGTGGAAACAGAGGTAGTGAGTCCAAGTACTGTACATCGCCTGTAACTCTGCTCAGCCCCTCGTCCTCCTCAAGTCAAACCCAAACCGTCCTCCCGAGGAAGCCTTCCCTCACTTTGAATGAACTTGACTGCGTCTGTGACTGCTCTGATTTACATTCAGTGCAAAGTGAAGATTTTATATGAATGTCGGGAAGAGAGGCTTCACTTCAGAATATTGATTGTTGGTCGAGTCCTCCTCATCCCAGCGGTACCTCTGCAGTACTGCTGACTGACTGCACACTGGTCACTGCAGACGCCCCGCCCGCTGGTTTATTCCACTGGAAATTCATATCTACTCTGTGGGATTTTCTATGACAGGACGTTAAAACAAAGGCCTCTATTTTTCAGTCTTCAGTGGACACTACTGTACTAGTCCTACTTTATATTTCTCTCTCTGCCTTGACAAACAGTGAACTTGATTGAACCCGATTGCCTGTGTCTCTGATGTTTTATTGTAAAGCGTATCTCTCTGAGGTGACCCTAATAACCATTTACTAATTACTGCTGGACCTCTAAAGAATGTATCACTTTCATTTTTCTTTGAAACTACGGAAGCCAATAACGGCCAAGCTTGCATTTATTTCAGAAGTTGATTATTTTCGTTATCTTGAGGAAACAAAGCCGGTTGATAATGGGTTCATTTTTCAGGTTTTCTGGAAAACTAAAGGCAGATCTTTGGAGGTAACAAGATGAGTAGTTCAAATAGTCATCGTAGTCGGATGTGGAAAGGAAAACAAGCTGCTGACAGTAGCCTAATCAGCACCACAGATGCCTGGACAGCTCCGCCTCAGGCTAACCAGGGTAATAAAATACTGCAAGCTTTATACTGTGTCAAAGGATAACCCATGTATGTTGACCCAGAATAAAGTCACCCTTAAAAGACGAGGACTGATCTGAACAGAATGACGCGATGCAATATTGTGCCTGTGTTAGACCTTGATTGAAGTACGTTCAAATAATAACGGGTACACCTTGTCAGTAAATCAGTTGCTACAGTTTGGCCATCTGTGCATACTGGCACGGCACTCCTGATCTCTGATAAACATTAGAAGTCATTTGTTTTCTCCTGATAACTGTTTGATTATCTCATGAAAGCTTGTTGTTTTTGAGATAGCCAAATAATCAACTTGTGCTTTCGAGATAACGGCATTAAGAAAACATAGTTGCAAGCGCGGCCGTCCTCGGCTTCCGTATATAATCAGTGGATGTCTCCCTCTTTCACTGCAGGACGTTGATGCTGATCAGAAAAGTCAGAAAAACTGTGCAAGTAGGTATCAGAATCCCACTGCAGGTTTTAAGCTGCAGTGTCTGGTCTCTGTAAATACATGGTCTCTCCTGCTGATTCCCTTTTACGTGAGCCGAACGCTTCATGCACCCTCATGTGCTTTCTTCTTATAGAAGTTTTGTCATGAATGTCTGCTACATGTTATGTGCCATTAGAGATGTCTCCACAAGTAATACCTAATGATCTGCTGTTATTCCATTTCAAATCGGTTTACTCATTCCTAGCGTTACATATTATGTGCTCTTTCTTTTCCTTGTACCTTGTTATTTAAGTTCAACGCCTGTCCGTCCTCATTTAACTTAAAGTTAATTACGCATCTGCAGAATGTATGTCCTTACTTGCTTTGTGATGTGTTAAAAATGCCTTTTCCCTTGCTGTTGTAAATATCATGGACAGTCTCATGGTCCACAGTTGTGGTTTACATGTTTGAAGAGATTCGATTTGTGTGTCTGGATACAGCTTTATGATATGACATGTGATTGGTACGACCGACTGCTCTGGAGTTAAAGTGCACTACTGCATCAGGAATCTCTGGGATTATTATGGCAGAGGAGTAAGGGACGATTTGTTTTTCAATAACCTCATTCCAGTGTATATACCTGTTTTTATGGTAATCTATAAAAGCCGAAAATCATTGCTGGTGAGGTAACATATACAAATTTCAAATGTTTTGTCTGTAAAGAGAGATCTGTTACGGTAATGTTTCATTATCTGTTGGCCAAGATCAAGTGCTTCTGTCCTGGGTTCTACCGCTTTGTTAAAGTTGTGATGAACTGCTGGGCAGAAGCAAAGTCAAGATCTTAGAAATATTTCTTTTCCTTCGTTGCATTTAATCACCATAATGTATATTATCAAACTTTTTCCAATAAGCCCAATCACTGTACTGTTCAATGAGTTATCACACAGGAAAATACGCTGGATCGAGGCCACTGAAAAGTAAAGTACTACTGAACCAGGTTGTCTGATAATGGCACACCCTCTACTTGCTGTTTGATTTTTAAGCTTCTTCCCGGTCAGAGGCTGAAGTCATTCTGTATTCTGTGTTTGTATGAAAGCATTCCTCTTATTTTAAGAACTATATTTGTATATTTTGTGCTGAAAGAGAAACGCCATCATGACGTCGTGGGGGTTGCTGATACAAACCCGATACAGCCTTTTGCTGATCAGTCATTGTTTTCCTGTGCCTGCAATTAATAAATGTCAAGCTCTTTATCATTTACTGAATTATTTCAGTATGAAATGGATGCAATATTCTTTTCTTTTTGACCAAATAATACTGCCAGAACTACCAGCATATTACTGATACTGTTAATGGCAGGCCATTCACAATATGTATTCACAACATTAGTCTAAACTTGTTAGCAAGTCGACATTAGCAGTTAGCTAGTCTGATAGCGTCCTTAGTTAATTAGCACAAAACACAAAGTACAGCTGAGGTGATCTGATGATGTCGCTTGTTGAAAAGTCAGGTTATGCTATTGAAGACACAACACCTGCTTGTATTATATATATATATATATTGTATATAAAAAAAGATGCATCTCAGAAGTTGCTAAATTTAATAAGTAATTACATTGTTATTCTTCACGCTCTTACAAAACACAGAGCCGCACCCAACAATTGTACAGTATGTAAAGGTATCACAACATGTCTGAGGAATGTGGTCTTTGTAGGAGTCCCTGGCACGTTTGTAACAGTTCTTTACACAGTATTTACAGATCTCAACTGAGCTAACGCCGCCTGGACATGGCAGACAGGCGTTGCTGTTTGAAGTCTCTTAGTGGATTTGATGCAGCGGGAAATTCCCAGCATCTGCTGGCCTGGAAAAGGACCCGAATGTTCTATTCAAGTTTCAACCTGGTGGTTCACATTAAAAAAGGCCACTGGCCCGAGCCTTCATATGCTCTGTTGTATGCACAACATAAACCGCTGATAGACGAGTGCTATAAGAGGTTACTTAAATGCATGTAAACACCAATATCACCAGAAGCACAGTAAGTTAGCATATTGTGTTACGGTAGTGGTACCACAACTCCAAGGACATTAATCTTACCATAATAATGTGGGGGCAAATTAGTGTTTCAGTGGAGCCATAATAAGTCAGTATCCTCCAAGACCATAAGGTCAATTCAACTATATTATATAGTATATTAATATATATATATATATATATATATATGCTCAAAAAATTAAAGGGAACACTTAAGCAACACATCCTAGATCTGAATGAATGAAATAGTCTTATTAAATACTTTGTTCTTTACATAATTGAATGTGCTGACAACAAAATCACACAAAAATTATCAATGAAAATGAAATTTATTAACCCATGGAGGTCTGGATTTGGAGTCACACTCAAAATTGAAGTGGAAAAACACACTACAGGCTGATCCAACTTTGATGTAATGTCCTTAAAACAAGTCCAAATGAGGCTCAGTAGTGTGTGTGGTTTCCACGTGCCAGTATGACCTCCCTACAACGCCTGGGCATGCTCCTGATGAGATGGCGGATGGTCTCCTGAGGGATCTCCTCCCAGACCTGGACTAAAGCATCCGCCAACTCCTGGACAGTCTGTGGTGCCACGTGGCGTTGGTGGATGGAGCGAGACATGATGTCCCAGATGTGCTCAATTGGATTCAGGTCTGGGGAACGGGCAGGCCAGTCCATAGCATCAATGCCTTCATCTTGCAGGAACTGCTGACACACTCCAGCCACATGAGGTCTAGCATTGTCTTGCATTAGGAGGAACCCAGGGCCAACCGCACCGGCATATGGACTCACAAGGGGTCTGAGGATCTCATCTCGGTACCTAATGGCAGTCAGGCTACCTCTGGCGAGCACATGGAGGGCTGTGCGGGCCTCCAAAGAAATGCCACCCCACACCATTACTATCACCATCACCACCGGTTTGGCGGTGATCACCATCACCGCCAAACCGGTCATGCTGGAGGATGTTACAGGCAGCAGAACGTCCTTGCACAAAGGTGGAGGTAGCGGTCCTGCTGCTGGGTTGTTGCCCTCCTACGGCCTCCTCCACGTCTCCTGATGTACTGGCCTGTCTACTGGTAGCGCCTCCATGCTCTGGACACTACGCTGACAGACACCGCAAACCTTCTTGCCACAGCTCGCATTGATGTGCCATCCTGGATGAGCTGCACTACCTGAGCCACTTGTGTGGGTTGTAGACTCCGTCTCATGCTACCACTAGAGTGAAAGCACCGCCAGCATTCAAAAGTGACCAAAACTTCAGCCAGAAAGCATAGGAACTGAGAAGTGGTCTGTGGTCACCACCTGCAGAACCACTCCTTTATTGGGGGTGTCTGTCTTGCTAATTGCCTATAATTTCCACCCGTTGTCTATTCCATTTGCACAACAGCATGTGAAATTGATTGTCAGTGTTGCTTCCTAAGTGGGCAGTTTGATTTCACAGAAGTGTGATTGACTTGGAGTTACATTGTGTTGTTTAAGTGTTCCCTTTATTTTTTTGAGCAGTATATTCAATAGTAGCATAGCAAGACAGCTGATCTATAAAAAGTCGGTGAGCCTGGGGTAATTTCAGTGATGTGTCTTTGGGGAAGTGTGAGCAGGCCCGTGCACAAGTAAACATCCACTGCCAGCTACCAATAGATCTGTCAATACAGATGTGTCATTCAACAGCATGTTAGCGCTGCATCATAACATCAGGTGAGGAATCTGAAATGGAATAACTGTCCTGGTGGGTCAAGCACCTTGAGAGAGTTCAGAGTGGCATTCCTAAAGATTAGAACATTTCCAAAGCAGAACAGCCCGTCGACACGTGTTGTAACGATGCAACTCGTTCATTTCCGCGAGCCATTCGTTCAGCTGACGGCCACTGACTTCCCGTCGTTCTCCCGTCTCCCCTGTGCTGTAAATATTGCTGGGAATGATGAGTATGCAATCTCTAATAATAATATGATGGCACCCACATTATCTCTCAGGAGAATGTAGTGTTATAGTATATATAACAAAAGAGAGAACGGGGTGTAAAGTAAAAAGAATGGCCTGATACTGTGGCCAAGCAGAGATACAGACAGAAAAAGTATTAATCCATAGTTGAAAAACAGTAAAGATCATGTGAATAATTAGTGAATAAACAGAGCTGAAGGTAGCAGCAGTAATAGAGAAGTATTGCTAAGTGCAGAAACTGCTTGCATATTTACCTCAATAAGATATTACACTATCAAAATACCCGCACAAACCAATCCACTACACCAACACATGCGTTTCATAAGGCACATTAATTAGCTCAGGGATTTAGTTAAAATCATAAAAGAAGCATATCTTGGCAGTGAAGCAGAAGATGACGGACAGAGGTTCTTTGAGTGAGTAGAAGGGAGAAGATGAGATAAAGATCTTTCAGCATACTGGCGAGGAGAATGGAGGAACAGTATCAACCAACTAGTAAAATCATATTTCGGGGCTTTAGGGTTTAACGTGCTACTGTCCTAAGTGTAACCCTCCACTTCTTTTATACTGGAGCTTCATCGCGGCCCCATTCAGGCTGCACCTGTGCAAGAACATGGACGAAAACCTTTTCCTTCAACATCCACAAACTAACCGATGTGAAACATTGTAACGCAAAAAATAAAAAAAATGTAAATGCAAGTCCCGATGTAAAAAGGGAATTCCCGGTTGACTGCATTGCTCAGTCAGTGGCTTTGGAGGAAGTGAGGGGTTCAGTCTCTGAAAGGTCTTCCTGAGGAAACACCACATTACACACCTTCTGGCCCATGTATGTGACTCTTTCTGCAACGCAAAAGACAACAGGAGGAGTGTTATTATCACGGGCCGACTGCTAACATATCTATAAATATTCAAATATCACAGCCCAACTCACCGACTAGCCGGTAGACACATTTGGGTTTGTCCTTCCAATGAACACCCACAAAGTATACAGGGACTCCAGACAGCATGATGACCATTCCCAGGCCACAAACCACCGGCTCAGAGTACAGACTGAAGCACAGCAGCACAGCCCAGAATATCAAGTAGGCGATGGGGACCAACATGCTTACCTGCACAGGACAAAAATATATTTACACATATATATTTTGCCACATTTTGTTCATTGGGATTTTTACATTTTTTTCCATCTAAAACAAACGCATATACAAGTATAGAGCTTGGATATTACTATTTTAAAAAGATTGGACAATAAAATAAAAAATCGGATATATGTTTAATATTTTGACCAATAAAACCAGTACATGTATTCTATCACACGTATCATATATTATACATTTTCGACACCAGGGGGCGCTAAAATACCATACATGTGCATGACCAACTACAAGTGAGTACCTAGGTATCTAAAGCTAACTCATCTCTCCAACTGGTCTTTGAACTAGCTTAATGTACGGCTAATTTAGTCACTTTAGGAGTGCCGTAACGTTACTTAATTAGCTAAATTGCAACCGCTACTTTTTCCGGCCTTGCAGTCTGGTGGAGCAAGTATAGGTTTTTAAGCAACTGCTTAGTTTATGTTTTTGTTTGGCCTTCACCGTTTTTCATTATTAATTAAGTGTATTTAAATGCCGCGAAAAACAATTTCCCTCCATGTAGTGCTATGTAGACCTACTTTCTGTGAGCATTAAGGAACAATTGTCATTCATGTGAAGTTAAGATTCGTCATATATTTTTGTTGTCATCCGTTTAATTTACAGCCCAAGATTCCATGTAATTTTAACTACAATTGCCGATTCAGTAATTATTAATAATTGGTCCAAACCATACAGTCCTGTATGTGTCTGAATTATTGTCTGCACAATTGGAAGATATAGGAAAAGACTAGACATACACTTTGTCACTTGTTTGTGTTTGTGTGACCCCATTTGTTGTTAATAACAATTCCTAAGAGGCTCATTGTTATCTCACTATGTAAGCTATATCATTTATGTTATATTGTTTTGACATTTCCTCATTGTGCTCTGCTGTCAAGAGGTACCCTTAGTTTTGGATTTTTGCTCACAAAAATATTTTTAAACACGATTTCCCAGTTACAAATGATCGGGAGAAAAGTTAATATTCAAGCGGTGGCATAAGAGTTCTGGCACAGGGGTCCCTGCGCGTCCCTTTTAAATAAACCGAGAGCTATGAATTGATAACATTCTGTGTTCATGTTGTGCAGCGGGTCTGTGGTTCTCAGCCTTCTGTACCTTGATGGGTCTGACCAGGTTGGGTCTTTTCTTGCGGAGGTAGAGGAGGCCAGCAATGGTTACGCCGTAGGACAAATAGTTGATAAAGGACACATAGTTGATCAGGTTGTGTGTCTCTCCGATGCACAGGATGAATATGGTGGCAGTGCACTGTGGGAGGTGAAGGTAAGGTCAAAGGTCAAATACATATTGAACTATTTACTACAAGTACTGCAAAACAGTACCATATTCATTTAAAACACAGTTTGTGTGAGTGAGACAAAGTAGGCTAAACTGTGAGTGCGGCACTCACGCAGACCAGCAGGGCGGGGATAGGAGTGCAGTTCTTGAGGTGGATCATAGCCAGCAGATAAGGCAAGTGACCCTCTCTGGCGCCTGAGAAACACAATCTACAGAGAGACAGACACATTATGCATACGAGTGTGTGTGTGTGTGTTCAGGTTTACTCTACTTGTTAGGAGTAACTCTTAGCATAAAAGGGCATTCATGAAAGTAGGTTCGGCATGCCGTGTGTTCTACCTGGAGGAGGTGAACAGATATCCGTTGATTCCTCCAAAGGTGGACAGCGCTACAGAGATCGGCATCACCCAGGAAAACATCCCCAGCAGCTTCTCCCCGAATGTCTGGAACAACACAATATCTGATGGGTCAGATATTTGAGAAAATAATTGAATAATTGACTTACTGATTCAGTCATTCAGTCCCTGACAGTAATGCGTTCATTTATTAATTTCACTGAAAGATGCAATGTTGGACCTTTCGTCTCTTTAGCTCACTTAGAAACATTTTTTATTTAATTTTATTTTCTAAGAATGGCTTTATCCTTTTTCGAGGACACTGCTTGTAATTCAAGTCCCACAAAGGAAAGTAGTCACATACTGAACTCATGACTGTTTCCCAGTTTTCCCTCTAGGATCATGAAAAAAAACTTTACCCGTAAACTTTAATCTTATTGACTAATTAATTAGTTGGTTGAGGTCTGTCTCGTGCTACGATTCTCAGCTCAGTTTCCAGACAACTGAGACTCTTGTTAAATAGTATATAAACTGCTATGAGCTCCTGTATGAGACATACATTCATGGAGAGACGGAGAGCTGCTCACCACTGCCACAGCGTTGGAGGCCAGCAGCTCCTCGGGGGTCATGGAGGAGAAGTAGGCAATATTGGTCATAGTGTAGACAAGGGTCACCAGTGGGATGGAAATGTAGATGGCACGGGGCAGGTTCCTGATACAAATAATGGCAATAATTCGAAAAGTTGGTGTTGTTTTCAGGAGCTTTAACGAGACTGAATTCAAATCAATTATAAAGTCCTGAACTAAGGGATAAGAAATAGTATGCTGTGCATGTGGCCTACTTGCGTGGCTCCACGACTTCCTCTGTGACGTAGTTGAGGAAGTTCCAGCCGCTGTAGGCGAAGGAGGCCTGAAGGAAGGCCAGCGCTATCTGTCCCACTGAGGGGTCCTGACTGAATTTAAAGGCCACACTGGGCCGAAGGGCGTCATAGTGACCTGGAGAAGTTGAGAGGAAGGGATGTGTGCAAAATTTCACTTGTTCATCACCATAGTATTGCTTACATCTATAAAACTCGAAGTTACTTCATAAATGTATTTTTCTCATTTGTCACTGTTGTTTTTTGACTTAAAGAACTTTACATGTTATGTCTACTTATGTCCACCAGGGGTCAGCAGTGTCAATACAATCTGCTGTGACAGGCTTTACAGTCTGACAGGAGCTTGATTAGAAACAAACACAAACCTAAATACTGTTGGTTCATTGTTTCACATAAAGGTGTTTAAACGTTTTTCAACAGTGTTAGCATTTTTAATCTCTGAACTGTTTTGTTTTTTTCCAAAATGCATGCTGCACCCAAATTACACAAAACACTATAAAGCTATTTTGCTTTCATCATAAATGGATAATTTTAATAAGCTGTACATTTTGTTTAAAAGTTTTATTTTGTTTGTATACATTTTCTGTCTCAGTGAGTTCTACTGCTGTAATGTTACACATGATGGTAATGCGGAACTTTGTCATTATCCCGTTCTGTTGTGGAAAATGTAGGTGGTATATTTAATTTTCTCTGTTCTTTTACATATTTTTTATTTGATTTTCAGTATTTGTTATTTCAACAATTTTCCTAATGGAGATAATTACAATAAAATCAGTGATCAAACGATGAATGCACTATTTCTAGATATGTCCACAGAAATCATGTTGAGGAGTTCATCTCACCAGAACGTGCATGTGTGTGTTTACCTCGACAGATCTGGATGAGTCCGACCACTATGATGAGTACCAGAGCAAGCAGTTTTCCTACAGTGAAAACATCCTGGATCCTTGTCGCCCAGCGCACACTGGAGCAGTTCACCCAGGTCAGGAATACTGCGGACGCAGACAAACACACACACACACACACACACACACACACACACACACACACACACACTTAATGTACTTTAAAAGAGTCATGTTTCTGACAGGCTCTGCCTTATAAATGCAGGTCTCTCAGAGTTCTGTATAAGTACCGCCTCCACTACAATAATAACCTCCACTAATAGGAGGAAAAACATGATACACTTTTATGAAATACAATCCTAACCTTTAAGGAAAAGCAGCAAAGGTATTCACCGGCTGGATGCATGGACGACATGTATTCTGCTGCCTCTTTCATATTTATGTCAAACGCTCTAAGGTCTGTGCGTTTTCGCACTGCACATAACATTCCACTCTTGTCAGCACAAAAAAAGAACACATCTTTCCTGACAAAACAGACAGAAGTCTATAGAATTAAACACTTCCTACTTCCCGTTTCCTACTTGCATATATAGTGTGTGTGTGTGTGTGTGTGTGTGTGTGTGTGTGTGTGTGCGTGCGTGTGCGTGTGCGAGCGCATATTTGCCACCATAACTAGGGCTGGCCAAATTCCAAGTAGCCCTTGATCTCATTACAGTCTTAAGTGAGCGGTAAACCCAGTAGCAAGTGTGAATCGAGCTTCCAGCTGTGAGTAAAAAAAGGAAAGAGGGAGACTTTTGTGCAATTCTTTCTTTTCTTTTTCAACTTTAAGGTGTGCAATCCTTTACACATCATACCACGGATTTTAGTCTGAAAGTCAATGTACTATAACTGCAATTCAGTCAGCCAGCTCACATGGAATAATAGACTATTGTATGTAAATGTTCAATATGTACAGCATTAACTACATGGAGCTCAGCTCAGTGCTTTGTTTGGTGGGGTTCGGCATGTTAGGTAAGTGCTTGAGACGGGCTGCCTGAACTGAATTGCCGGCTTCACTTCATATATGCTGTATACTATGCTGACTGCTTTATGGTGCTGGATGTTGTGATGTTATAAATCACTTTCAGACATGCACCTCGTTACACAAACGTAATGGACATTTCTTTATCACTTTTGACATGGCTGAGGTCTAAATTAAATACTGTGGCCTTAACATAAAGTGCATATCATGCAAAAGGTTAAACAAACAATGACAGATATTACAATCATAATGTGCTGTGCATAATTTTGTTATACACAAAGAAAATCAGCACAATAAACCATTAAATCCTGTGTGGAGGAGATTCTCTACATGTTGTTTCATTCAGAGTATTGCCCTTTCGGTGAAGTGCAAAGGGCTGTGCAACATTAACCAAACACATGGCTTTCTAAATTTAGCATAATTCAATCTGAACATTTCTACAACCACCTTAAAAGATTTTAAAGTATCAAACCAAATCCTGATTTAAAGTGGCCCGTGTGTGTGTGTGTGTGTGTGTGTGTGTGTGTGCCTGTATGTGGTTGTGAGGAGGTGTATCGCATGAAAGTGATAAACGCATACCCAGTATTTTGTTGTCTTCTCAATGACGTACCATATCAACAGGGAGTTCAATTCAATTTAATTTATTTTGTACAGCCCAAAATCAGAAATTACTAATTAGCCTCAGAGGGCTTTACAATCTGTACACATACGACATCATCTGTCCGGGGATCCTCACATCGGTACAGGAAAAACTCCCCCAAAACAGCCTTTAACGGGGAGAAATAGGGGTTTAACTTGTATAATTAGTAAATCCCTCTACCTCAGCCTCAGCCTTCATGCTTGCTGACCATTGCCTGTGTTTCACAGAAGTTCAGAAGCTGAACTCTCTGAACTCTCTCCCTCCTCTCTTTCAAGACTCTCCATGTCCAACTGCTGCTAAATACAGATTGATAGTTTTTTTTGTTTTTTTCTCTTATTATATATATATTGTCTAAATGTTTTTGTAATCTATTGCACTGTATTCACTTTATATGTTTATATGTTGGACTAGAGAGAAACGTCTTTTCAACTCCCCTGTATGTTCAGTACATTGTGGAATTGACAATAAAGCAAACTTTGAACTTTTGAACTCACGTGCACTCAGATTAGTGTGGCACTTCAAATCGTGAGCTAGAGATTATGAAGCGGTTTAGGCGACTGGATTCGAGGAAGATCGCTATAGATCTGTCTTGTTTCCCTCCCGTCTTTATTTGATCTCACTTATTTATTATTATTATTATCATTATTATTTACTATTTGAACCTTTCACTCCTTCTCACTTTCACACACAAACACGCTCACAGAAGTATACGTGTGTTTGTGTGTGTGTGTGTGTGTGTGTGTGTGTGTGTGTGTGTGTGTGTGT